ATTTAGATGTTTTAAGTCAACAAATACAATATTGCTAAAGCAAAACATAATTATAATAAACATCACAGTATGAATAGCTGAGTTGACACTGGTCTTGTGTTTTTTACCTCTTCTGGGACCCCACTCTGTTTCCTGAGTTCAGAATCCACTTCTTTAATATCTTTTTCCCAGCTCTCCAATTCTCTCATAAAATCCTGCAGCTCTTCAGCATTTTGCTTCACTTGCAGCTGCAGTTCTATCGCTTTACTTGGTGTGCTCATCGTGATCTGCCAAAATTCAAGAAAAGAAGTTGAAGGAAACTAGCTACTTCATAAATAAAAAGTCTGACTTACATGCCAGTCAGACTTCCTAACAGCATTGCAGAAATACTAAACACTAAGAGACTAAGAAGAAACACGGTTTAAATGTCTTTGAAAAAAAGAAGGGAAGCCATGTAACTCCGATAAAACAAAGTAAATAAAAAACAGCAATTCATGTTTTCCTAACTAAATGGAAGGTAAAGCACCCAACAAGAAAATGGTAATCCTGAAAGTGCAAGCAAGTCCCTAAAACACTGTTTAATAATTATCAATACTTGACTGTCTTCATAAATTTTGTTGTCTCAATTTTATTAAGTGAAAGAAGTTTTATTATCATAAAAAATAACAAGTCAATTAAAAAGTAACCTTAAAAAATATTGGTTACACTTCAGAAAAAAAAAAAACATGTTTGTCGAGTTCATAGCACAAAAATCTGAAAGCATGAAGCAAACATGTTTTGAAAACAATCATGATTAAGTAACTTGTGATAAGCTAAATACAAACTTAGACAAAGAGAGTTATGAATGATTGCTAACTCTAACCTCTTGATGACAAGCTTCAGGATCTGTTACAAGCCTCATGGAAGTATTAAATAAGCTATTTGTAGTGATACTACACAAAGTTTTTCAGGAAGAAAAAAATTTAGGCTATTTAACATGCTTTATTTAAAATTATTTTTCACATCTGTACAATAACTTAGTAGCAGAATAATATAAAAATTTATGAGGCAAACAAATCTAATGATTTCTGTGTACAATGTGCCATCCCTAATTACAGACAAGGGTCTCAAAGAGATGGAAAAACACTGCATGATTACTACTGAACTAATGCTACCCAAGCAGAAATGTTTTTACATGATCAGGAGTAAGCAGCTGAGTAGATGCCCTGCTGCAGCAGTTGTGTTTATCCCTAGTTCATACACAGCTGGTGATGTGATTATCCTGAGCAACATATTAATTCTAGTTGAAACAAAACAGAAAGAACCTTTCATTGAAGCCAAAAATACATAGGTTTCATCACATTTTCAATTAAGGAGCTTACTATGCTTTTTTCCACCTTCAACTGCTGTCCAATGCCGAACTACCACTATAATATTCAGTCTGCTAATTTCGTGCAACTTGTGCATGGACACATCAAAAATTCCATACAGCCTAGCATTTCTAGGTAGCTAGAACAAGATACTTAAAATAGAAAAAAACACAACAAGATACTTAAAATAAAAAAAAACAGAACAAGATACTTAAAATAAAAGAAAAAAAAATCTTGTAATCCGCTGAACTTTTCTTTTTCAGATCTCTGACTAAAACAGCATTCTCACGCATGCAAAAATCTAACACGAAATCCGGCTGTTTGTCCTCTGCCACTCTGAAGCATCCTTGCTCGAGTCCAAAAAGTCAAACTACTCCGTTATCCACTAGCTGCACACAATTTAGCAACGACCTTAATCCACGCACTGACAGCAGTCCCTGCAGCACAGCTCTTGCATCCTTCAGGGCACTTTTATTCGAATCTCAATGCTGAGTCCTTCCAACACCCGCGGGCTGCTGGTTCCAGCGATTCCCTTGGTGCGGCCGCACCACACCGGCGGCGCGGCCGGCAGCACAGGCCCGCCCTGGAGCGGGTCCCGAGGCCGCGCCGCAGGAGGCCCCGAGGCAGAGCAGCCCCTCTGAGCCTCAACACCCGCCTCTGCACCGCCCGCAAGTCGCAAGAGAGGCGAGGCCTT